GGAGCATTTGATGATGTATAAGTATGCATGGAGCAAATGTATTCATTGTTGTTTCTTGTACAAAATAAGGGCTTGTCTATATGACGTTGTACAGCACACTGTTTGGCTGTGATTTCTAACTGGTCAATGTAAACAGTGCTTGTGCTCTCTGAAAGTTCTGTAGTATGCTTTAATGTAGCACTATTCTAAAGATATTGTGCTTTATAAATCACACTCTAATAGTGTTCATTTCCCCACTCTATAGTTATGCTTTTTGTCTCAGGCTTGGAGAAGCTTAGATGTAGAAGGTTTTAAAACTGACATTAAGTAATACACTAGTATTGGTGAAAAATCCATGACTTAAAAGTAATGTTCCTAATTATGAGCAGTTTGATTCCCTTGTAGTCAAAATAAATGTTGGCCTCTTTAGTTTTTACCCAGAATATGGAATGTGATGTGATGCACATGGTTAGTGCTAGCCACAGTTTTTTAGTTCAAGCAGATAAATAATTTTGTGGGAGCTCACAAAAGGAAATGGAAGCATTGCACCATTGTAGATAAGCCTGTTCCTCATTTCTGTTTGAACGCTCTGTTACAGTTTCTGAATTTCATTCCTTTTGTTGGTAGCAGTTTGCCTTCTTTTTAACTATTTTACCTCCCAGCCAGCAAACAAAAGTAATGAGACCTGCAGGAATGTCCTTAGGATTTATGGGTCTCTATGTAGTAATATTAAACTTGTGTTTATGTGCCCAAAGGTATGGGGAAATGATGATTTTTTTTAGAGATGTGATTTTATAATTTTCAGCAACACACTAATGAAATATTTTAGATCAGATTTTAAACTAAAGTCCTGTAGACTCACACTGTAAATTCAGAAACTGACAGCATATACTTGGAGTTGGCAAATGCCTGTTAAATGACTTCATTACCACTTGAATGGGTCTTTCACAAATTCAGTGTTCTGCTAAATAGGTCTAGCAGGCTTTTTCACTTTTAAGTTAACTAGATCCTCTCCGGAGGAAGCAAAGACATAGAAAAGGGATAGAAAGAGGCAGGTGTGTGGTTAGACATTAAAACCCAGGTGTGCCATATTTTCAGGTGCCATATGCAGCTTCATTTTTTTCATATGGTTAAGGATGTAGACCTGTAGACCGGAAGATACTGTCACTCCATCCCTTGTTCTGGCAATGTATATTTGAACTGTTGGTGTTATTTATCAAAATAATGCTGTGATCAGGAGAAGGAATTCCTGTTTTATAATGTTTGCATCCCCAAATCAGGTACAAGAACAAAATTATGCAACTTAGATTTCCCCTCATAGTGTGCGAAACTAATAGTGAACACATAGTGACAAGTTCACAAATCAAAGCTTAAAAGTTTGTTGACCCAGACCACTCTTTTCACATTTGCAAATGTTCAAATTTAAAAAAACAACAACAAATGTTTGTAATGGTGGTTGACTGTGCCACAAACAGAACTGGTCATCTTTCCTTCCCAATGAGTCTTTTCCTACCAAGCAGTGTAGTCTTTAACAGTGATTAGGCCATGTTAGATGTGGGACAAAACAGCATGATTGTCATATGGCCCTACCAAACAACCAGTGTACTCCTATGAGACTCAATAAAGTAAGTGGCTTTCTGAAACCACTTGATTTTCCATTCCTATTTCTCCGGCAGCCCTGTCATGAGTACATAGGAGCAGCTTCCCCGTACAAGTCTGCATGCTCAACAGAAGCCACTTTTCCTATCTTTTCATCTCTATTTCTGCTGCATTCTGCTTAGCTGCAGGTGTGTTGCCTGTTCATTTGATTGCCCCCAGGCCAAGCAATATTTAGTCTTCTGGTGAAAAGGGAAGGGGAGGAACAAAAACTTCAAAAGGAATGAAAAGTACAAAGCAAAAAATACAACTATGCAAAAAAGTACAGGCAATGGCCAGGAAAAGACAGTCGCAGCTATACTGGAGCATATAGGAGGGCATGTTGGATAGAGGCTTGCATCCAACAATCTATCATAAGAGGGTGGTTCATATTGAAGCAGCTTAGGTCTACTGGTCTAGTGATTTTTACTGATAGACAAAATGATCCTTTTGTGCTTTCTTTTGCTGGAGCACCAAAGTTTAGTAATATTCAGAGTTATCAGAAGGAGAACAATCCTGTTTTCTACCATGGAAGAAACACAAAACCTCAACTGTTGTTGCAGAAATAGAATTGAGTCAAAATGTTCAGTTTGGAGATCCAAAGGAACTTTTTTTAAGTAGGAATTTGTGGGGTTTACTGGCCACTTTTGACACACAACAGCCATTCCTTCTTTTCGTCATCAGGCAGAGTAGGAACTTAAATCTGGGTCTCCTGCATCCCAGACCAATGGTCTAATATATAACGTGACTTGGTTGAAATGGTCTCCAAGAATATCGGTCAAGCAAGAGCTGCTGTTGTAGCTAAATCTATTATTTAACCATCAGAAATAATAATACAGCTTGTGATTTGTATAGGCTTTAAATAAAAATTAACTTCAATGTTGTGATTTATTAGACAACATGGCACAACGTGCTTCTCTGCATTCCTTCCTTAGAATGATAGTATGTAATCAGGTGATGAAGTATATTTTGGATAAGATCGATAAAGAAGAAAAACAGGCAGCTAAGAAACGGAAACGAGAAGAGAGTGTGGAACAGAAGCGTAGTAAACAGAATGCTACCAAGCTCTCAGCTCTGCTTTTCAAACATAAAGAACAGCTTAAAGCTGAAATACTGAAAAAAAGAGCACTTCTGGACAAAGATCTGCAAATCGAAGTGCAGGTAAGAGCAGTTCTTCTCAATGAGGGAATTTTTATATTAATGGGCTTGTTTCTTTGAGTCCTTAAGGAAGCATGTAGGGTGAAATTCTTTTGTTGCAATTTGTATCCCTGCAGAACTCTCGTTTCATTTTACTTTATTGCATCTAGCATTTATTTAATTTATGCTGATATCTCTTATGGTTTCTTAAAACAATTTCTGTCCTATTAAAGTTAAAGGGTTGAATCCTGAAGTTTTGTGTCACTGAAAAAGTTATACAAAGGTGGTTAGAAAGCTCTCTACCTTAGTGTTTTGCTCCTTCCCCTGCCTTAAAGGGAAATATGGTCCATTTGATTCCACTCCTTTTGAGGTTTTTTCCACCAGTGAGGTTACACCAATGAAGTGGAAGTGAAGCTGTTTTTGTGAGGGGCCTCACAAAGCCTAGAGCTGGCCCTATACTTTATTTCTGAGACATTTTCTCCTTGTAAGGACATCATATTTCCAAGAAACAAACATCAAATTACAACACAAATGTATCAGAGCACTTAAGGCAAACATCTCACAATTTATGGAAGCGACTGGACCAATTTCAAGGTAGAAATGCCAAGTAAAGAATATGTAGTGATTATATGGGAAAACTGAAGTGATCTAAAGACGTACCAAGAGGGAGCCCCTTCACCAATCATGGTTGAGAAGGAGCTGCAATGTCCAGAGGACAGCACTTAAACCTGGTGCTATGCCCTTAGATCAGAATTCTTTACTAGCTGTGGGATTTACCCACTCTCCCATTAGGAGTGAAAACCAGGAATGAGAAATCTAATGGTGGTGAAATATTGTTTCTGTATATGTCCCACACCCAACACTTTGTATCCTGGCACTTACACCCCTGGATGGGGGAATTGCCTTTGGTATCAGTGACACTAGTTTATTTTGACAGAGGGTCTGTTGTTAACTATCCCTAAACACATTTTACATGCTTAAGGAGTGACAAATAGAAACTGAACAGGACTAGAAATTGACCAGGTTTCCCACAAGACAATGCGGAGTTACCTGTGTGGGACTCCATGAATATGTTAAAGATTCTGTGGATGTTGTTTCAATTTTGAATGGTATGGATCCTATAAGAATCCTATTAAATTTTGTTCCTTATTGCTAACAGTTTTCCAGATCTTTGTACTTTTGACTGTAAAGACTGGCTCGATCCTTAATTCAGTTTTTATGCCTGATTAGCACGTGTC